TCATCCTCGCTTCCCTCTCACAGACGCACAGCAGCAGCAGCAGGTGGACTCCATTAAATAAGTCCGACTTCATAAAGCTGACAGACTCGCTCTGCAAAACGTTTCGACAGCACAAGCACATTAGGGGAGTTCCAGGTTGTGCCAATGGGACGCAGGATTAATCACAGGCAGTGCCGTGAGCAAGCGCATGAGTATTCCTTAATACATCAGATGCTTCCCACTAAAAGTGTCGGTTTGATTTAGAGATAGTAAATATGATTTGCTCAAATGTGTTGGCGGAAAGCAGAGAGTCGCACATTTTGTGTGAGCAGCGGCCGGATATTATGATAAATGATTCAGAGTCAGTACCAAACATAGGAGACCGGAGTGGTGTACTTGCACTGGTCCAGAAAAAAACAATGTAGGCTATGAAATAACTGCATCACTGCTTTCATTTTACTTAAGTCACGCAAGTGTTTGAGTTTATCTCTATTCTGAGGAGTTCTATTCATTTTCTCTGAGGAGGGTTGCTAAGGGTTGTATTTATTTTATATTATTTTATTTATCTTAGTAAAAGAAACTGCCTCCCAGCTTATTTTCCTGCTATCTAGAAGAATTGTGTGCTCTAAAACCACACTTAAAAAAACATTGCTGTTTGTTCAAACTACTTATTTAAAATGAGCTAAAACAACACAATTCTTGAGGGTCTTTTTGGGACAACTTTATTGTTTTATGTTTTATCCACTTTAATTTGTAAAAACTAATTAGTTAAGTTGAATCCTTCTTGGTGACTTAAAATACATCAATTATGTGCTTGCATTTTTTACATTGCACATATGCAACCCTTCCTGCCTCTGTAAAATGTCAAAATTTATATTGTGTCTAAAATAATATACTGTATAATGACTTAAACATTTAGTTTAAAACTGACTTCATGAGTCTGTTCTGTAGTATAAACCTAAAAGTATGAAGTGGATGAATACATTTAACATTTGATTTTAACCGGCTGTTGATGAACACAAAAAATACATAATACATTTTTGGCCATGATTTTGTCTCAGATAAAAAAAAAAAATCATGGCCAAAAATCAAATGTATTATGTATTTAATGTGTTCATCAACAACCAATTAATGACTGCTGCAATCAGATTTACCTCCCAATGAAATTCTGAAAATGTATAAGATTTCAGACAATTTCCTGCAGTGTGACATCTATTAGGGCGCGTGTCCATTGAAGTGCTGTTCTAAAAATGCTCAGCTGCTAGCGCTTTTCCAGCTGTCGGAGCTTTTAAAAACATGGAGCGCTCAGCTTGAGAGTAAAACATACACTCCGCATCTCCCTACGTGGTCGCTGTTTTAAATTCCATTGACAAAAAAAATAAATAAATGCTTGCATTTCTACAGTGCAAAAATGCTTCAGTGGAAGCCTTCCATTAGCATCAAACTAAGAGCCAATAGGAGGTCTGAACCTGATGACCTATTTCACAATGAATCATCAAGATATGTTATGAGTAAAATGAGCACTACAGATTCTTTGTGTTTACTGTGAGTTACCATTTCAGAATGTTACTAAACGTGTCATGGATTGATGACAATTAGTTTGGCATGTCTTGTTGTTCAATCTTACGCTATGACTACTCAGATCTTAGTGTGACATGGTGATTGTGTGACAGACTACAACTACAACTAAGAGTTTTAGTTGTTGCTTAATTCACTGCCATTCACATCCTGTGTATAGCCATATCAGATTGTAAAGTGTTCAGTGAATGCCAATTTCTGAACCTCACCAAAAGTAGTTGGCCATCTGTTCACTTTTCATTTATTTTTTAAGAAAAATATGAATTTAGATGCTTATCTAAGATACTGTTTTCCCCCATATACAGTATTGTAATATGAGTGCAACATCTTTGTAGACCTAAAATCTTTCTAATTATTTAATTCAACTAGATGCTGGAAACATTCTTCGGAGATTTTGGTCCAGTTCAGTGTCTCCTCTGGGATGTTTTTTACACCTATGGTGCAATCGGTAATCATACAAGCAGGAAATGTGTTGTAATTGTTTATTTTAACTGGTAAAAAAATATATACCAGCTCTCATAGATGGAATCATACCATGAAGAGGACAGGTGGTCCTCAGACAGCAGCTAGTATAAAACACTATACAATTATATATTTAGAATCTGCAGTCATGGTCATGATTTTTGGTGTGGAAGCTTGCCACAGCCGACTGAATGTAGTGAAGACACTTGCATAATGTGAATCTCCAGTTCCAGCACATCCCAAATGTCCTCTATTATATTGGAATCTGGAGACTATTGAGGACTTTTGAATTTAGTAAATTCGTTGTCACGTTCAGGAAAATATTATGAGATTATTTGAGTTACAGATGGTTACATGCTGCAGTATAGTGGCAGAGCACAGTGGACAGAACTACCAGAGTTTCACAACTACTAGAATGACTGATCATGTAAGACTGTACTGAAATGAATTTTTAGCACATCAGATTCTATTAAGATGTTACAATTAATCTCACTTTTTTCCATCTGTAAAGAAAGATTCATTTTTGCTGCAGTAATAATTTAAAAGACATGTCTCAAGTAAAGATATGTATTTAATAGCAGAAAGGTGTTAGCCAGAGTTGGGCAAAAATACATTAAAATGTATTTTAAAATCAAATACTTAATACATTATTTTTAGGTATGTCAAAATTAACCACAAAACACAGCAGCCACAAATTTGTCCAAATAAAATACAGTATTTTGTAATTTAAAAAAATCACAAAATAGTTTTACAAACGAGCATGACATTTCTTTGCAAATCTTCCATCAATTAGACCTATTCGATCAATCTCTTCCCCATTAAACTGACTTAGTGAAGCAAACAATGTTTGATAGTGAATGTGGCCAGTAAAATTGTCATCATCTCTGTACAATGATTATTCAATATTTTATTATTTTAATAAATAAAGAGTTTCCCAGAGATGGGTTGCAGCTGGAAGGGCATCCGCTGCGTAAAAACTTGCTAGATAAGTTGGCGGTTCATTCCACTGTGGCGACCCCGGATTAATAAAGGGACTAAGAAACTGAATGAATGAATAAATAAAGAGTTAATTTTTTATTTTTTTACAGAAATTTTCCTAAATCTATTTTTTTTGGATTATTAAATATTTGTGTTTCATATGTTGTGACATCTTAAGGCTTAGATCTTTCCTCTTCATTAACTATATAGTGTACCTACTGATCAACTACTGGCATTTAAAACATCCAATGAAGTATTGTAGGAATCACCACTGTAGGACTTAATTTTATGTTGTTTGTTTTAAAAACAAACATTTGGCATCAGCAATCCATTTAAAACTGCTATTATTTGTACAATATACTCCCAAGATTATTTTAATTCTTCTTTAAATGGATGAGTTAATAACATCCAAAGCACCAATCAGAGGGTTCATTTATATGATGTAGATTGATGTAGATTTCTTACAAAGTATTTTACAGTTTTATGAAAATACAAGACAAATTATTTGATACTCTATCAAATACAAATTACAATATACTATTTTGTATTTAAAATACATATTGTAATACATGTCTCATAAATGCTCTCCATGCTTGGTGACATCGAACAGACGGAGACAGAATAAGTAGAAGAGGCTGTATACACTCACAGAAATGATTCATGGCAGAGTTAGTTTTTATGCATTTACATCTATTTGACTTTATTTAAAAACGAATATTTTTAAAATCTATACATTAAAAGTAAATATACTCTAAAAGATTTAATCAATTATACAATTTATTTAATGCATTTAGTTAATAAATACTAACATTGTTTGAATAATAAGAGTTATAAAACAAACAAGATTCTGTTATTTAAAATTTATGTGATTGGTTTTCATCAAAGTTATGAAAAAAATCAATTTGGAAACAGGAAATGACATCACTTTCCCTGGACACAAGCCCTCGGGATATTGTGGGAATCCGTCACACACATGTTGGTAAGTAATCCGAAACATCCTTTGTTGTATGGCTCCTGTTCTAATTATTTTTTTATTTAGCATCAAGTGTATATAATAGTAATCCATTTATGGTAAGTTTTATGTAGTTTGTGATTTTTTTAAACGGTTTTATTGTACATTGGTTTACAGGAGAATACAGATGCCCGTTAGAATCATAACTTCAGTAAGCTTAGCCAAACAACTTTAAAATGCATCAATTAATCAAATTAACCCATTGCTGTCGGTTTTTATGTTTGTGAAAATAAAGAGAATCGAATTTGAAGTCAAGAATTGTCACTGTAATATGTAAGCTAATGTTTGCTGTTTTACGGCTAGTTAGATTACAGAACTGAATGACACCACTTATTTTATTCTTACTTTCTTTTTTCCAGAAACGTAACTGGTGGTATTTTCTTAGTTTTCCTCTCGCCGTGTTCTCACCTCCACGTGGAAACATAGATTTTTGTAAGTATAAGTTAAAAGATCTACACGTTAACATGTATAACATATTAGATGAACTTTTAATTAATGTTCAGTCAATGTAATATAAAATAGATTTTCAATATAATGCTGAAATTGATTAAAATTTATATAAAACAATATCAGTGTTATCGAAACTTGCTTTTAGCCTTTTTATACTGTAAAGCCTTGTATATAGAATAATAAAATTAAACAACAATTAAAATTAACTGAAATCAATGGGAGTTTACTTGCTTGATAGAAAGATGTAACAATCATCTTATTTTAAGGAGCCTGAAAATGAGTTTCCATTACAAATAAACTTTATAAGATTGTTAGTTTTTGCAGTGTAAAACAAGGTGATTGGTGTGGTCAAGAAGAGAAATGTCTTTGAATCTGTTGGCTTTTAACAGAATGAAGATGTCAATGTGAGGCGAGATTGTGTCTGTGTAGATTGAGCTGTCTGAGCATCTACCTCAATGAAGACCTGGACACACTTGTTAAAGAATATGTGGTATGTATCAGAATAGTGTGCCAGTAATTTTTCCATCTTGATAATATGGATTGTTCATGAGAATGGAATGGACATTAGGACACATTGACCACCAGTATTTCAACATTGAGTCCATTGGGTTGTTTTGAATAAAAAAAATCATGCAAGGTAAATGGTGGTAGAGCTGTCACTCTGAGGGAATTAAATCCGCTTGGTCCAGAGGAACCTGAAGATGAAGTTGTCTGGGTTCTGGCACCCACATGCCCCTTCTCCGCCAGAAACAACAATCCTCGCCTAAACAACAAGGTGATGACACAGACATTTCCCAGTGCTCATGAAACTAAAATGATTTTACTGCATTGATATGATTTTGGAAATGTTTACTAAGAAGTGCCTTGTATCATCAGGATGCATGTTCTGGACTGTCTGCTTACGAACTCAAGCGCCTTGAGAACATCACGCACAAGGAAGCCTTCTTGTCGTCTCTGAAGATATGGCAAGTATGTGGACATTTTAGTAAAGGTAAAGGACTAATCAGCTGTTTTCCATTTCATTTGCCCTCTCCCTACCTCAGTCTCCACCCTACTCTCCTCTTAGTCTCTTTTTCTCTCCCTCCTGCTCTTTCACTGTTGTCCCCCACTGTACGGTCCTTCTCTCCTTCTCCTTTCTTTCTTTTGTATTCACTTGTTATCTTACAGGTGTAACATAGATTTTAAAAATATATAAAATTAGATTTTGGTGGGTTCTTGTATTTTTTTTAACAATGTAGTTTACAAAATAATGTAATTTCTGTCTTCATCCATTAGCACACCTTTTAGTATAATTATGGTTGCTGTCTATACAGAAAAACAAGGAGATAATTATTCTTCTTTGTCTCGCCCGCTCTCTCTCTCTCTCTCTCTCTCTCTCTCTCTCTCTCTCTCTCTCTCTCTCTCTCTCTCTCTCTCTCTCAAAAGGTAGTGGAGGATCTGAGGCAGTCAGTGAAGCCAAAGCCCAATGTCAAAAGGTAAATAAAGCAGTACAATTAAAAGCATGGATCTTTTTACTGTTGGGGCTAATGGATGTGGAGTAAACTCTATCGTTTTATGTAATGATAGGAGCTTTATAGCAGTAAGTGACGTCATGGTGCACCTGCGGTTTATTAGAGTAATTTCATTGGAAGAAACCGCTTCATCAGGATGGAACTCTTAAAGGGATAGTTCACCCAAAAATGAAAAGTTTGTCATCAATTACTCACCTTCGTGTTGTTCCAAACCTGTATCACCTCCATTCATCTTTGGAACACAAATTAAGATATTTTGGATTTAATCTGAGAGCTTTCTGATCCTCCCATAGACATCACTGAAAATGCACATTTAAAGTCCACAAACATAAAGTCTTTATTTTTATAATTTTTTCAGCCAAAAAGTATTCTTGTTGCTTTATCATGTTAAAATTGAGTGACCCATGTCACATGGACTACATTAACTATGTTTTTAGTAGGTTTGTGTAATTTGAATGTGCACTTTCAGTGGTGTCTGTGAGAGGATCAGATCCAAAATATCTTAATTTGTGTTCTAAAGATAAACAGAGCTGATATGGATTTGGAACAACACGAGGGTGAGTAAAAATTTTATTTTTGGGTAAGTTTCAGGCTTGATGGACATACTACACTCATCCTGACTTGATTGTCAGATTATAAATTGTTACATTGGCAGAAAGGTGCACAGCATTCATGAGAAGCGTCTCCATTTTTAGTTAACTTTTTTGAACTGCATTTTTTTGTGGCAGGTTAATGGCTTCATTGGAAGAAAAATCTCTGCAGTCTCCCCGGAAATCCCTCCGTTTTAAAATAAAAAACCTCACCCCAAGTGAAGGGTTGACCCATAATCAAGTGAGAACAAGACTAATACTTGTATAATTTTCAGATATTATAATGTTGTTGTTGTTGTTACATTAATAGGAAATTGCACAACTGGAGATAAAATGCATTGTGTTGTTGTTAACTTATTATCCACAGCCTTGTGACTTTTATTTTTCCAGGCTTTTAGGGGGTGATCAGGTCTTAAGGTCATTATCCTGAACTTGCATCCATTCCGTTCTCATGAATGCATATATGCTGTCTGCTTTAATGAAAAGATCTACGTATGTGTGCGTGCATGCGTGTGTGTGTAATATTATAAGTGTGTGTTTATACATTCCAGGACATTGAATCCAGAGAGGCAGAGGAAGACATGGCAGGAAACACCATGGGCATCTACAAAGTACAATCAGAGGATCATGGTCAAGGTGATGGACGCTTCACTGATGTCCGTGTTGTGCTGGAAGGTGTGGAGGTTCTCCACAACCTGCAGAGTGTCACTCATGCATGGGTTATGTTATATGGCCTGATCTACGCACTCAATTTGAACTACCCTAAAAGCCTGAAGTGTACATTTTGAGGTGTACCAGAAAATCCTGATGGACCTGGACTCAACCAAGCTTTCCCCGAAAGTACAGACACTGAAACTGAAATTGCTCCAGTGATTTGGCTAAAAATAATAACTTATACAGCCCCTACCCATTTTTTTTTCACATTGTGCTCCAACCCAGAGATATGTTAAAATGATTTCCTAGTTCTATAATGATATGTTAATTAGCAACTGAAAATGGATCTCTGAGTACAGTTTTATTTTTTATTAAATTTTTTTTTTGGGTGTCCAAGCAGTATTGTGATGTTCGAGTGTGGCTGTGTAAGTGGGTTCATATGGATGGTTTCCTAAATGTTGGCTGATGTTAACTTGGCTAAATCCAGAGTTTTGTATGAAAGACAAATATAAATAAATCTGGAATTTTCCAGTTGGTCTAATTCAATGTGATGCATTGTTTGATTTGGTTTAGTATATAAGCATACATTAAACATGATTCAAATAAATGTTATTTATATTTTTTAGTTACCCCGATTTAGTTCTCTTAATTATTATGCAATTTATACAATAAACTTTATTTTTTAAAATAAATACAGTTTTTATTATTAATTTAGAATAATTACACTTTACATGAACTAATTACGTAAACCTGAGGATTATGCATTTAAAATAAATAGGTTTTATTATCCTTATGAAAATAAATAGTATAAAGTTTATTTGGTAGATTTGTGTTAAAATTATAAAAAAAAAAATATAAATGGGAATTTGTCATGTAATAAAATTACATAAATCTTAATTTTTGGATGAAATATTTCTGTGAGTGTAGTATGTGATCAGTTTGACAGTTAAGACCATTGAAATTAGAAATACTCTTGTGTTTTGTCATTTTAATAACATTTCTATGATAAAATGAAATATTTAAAAGTCAGGGTACTACAGTTGGTTTTTAAGTGATTATAGTTAAGTAATTAATTTAGTAGTAACTTAATAGTTTTTACAATTCAATATTTAAAAGTCGTCAAATCTCTGTTCTTCTAGGCCTCTATTTTAACGATTTAGGCACAAAGTCTAAAGTGCAGGGCGCAAAAGCATTAAGGGCGTGTCCGAATCCACTTTCGCTATCTTAAGGATGGACAAAATTCTTAAAATGGCGCATGGTCTAACAGGGTTGTGCTTATTCTTAAAATGAATAATGGGTGTGGTTTAAGAATAACCCAATCAGAGTCTCCTATTCCAGAGTCAGTTGTGTCACGTCATGGTGCATTTGCTATTTACATGGTGGACTTTGTAAGTGGAAAACAGAAAACAGTTCAACCGACCTTCTGTGGAGCAAGGATAAAGAACGAGCCTCCTCCAATCTTCCTCTTTTGTGAATAAGTAAACAGTGTTGTTTACAGACATCCATTAGCCTAATTAATTTTGTTTGTTAAGCGCATTTGTTTCAAAAAGATTTTGTTTCAAAACTATATCCAAATTCAGTTCTAATTTCCAGCAAACGAAAAAAAGAGCAATAATCACAAAGAGTGGTCAAACAACTGAGTCATATCCAAACACATGTCCTATGCCCTATATGGTCAAATCTAAGCCTGTTTTTAATAAAACAAATATAAACTTGTATATAATAAATAGAGCGAGGCAGTGGCGCAGTAGGTAGTGCTGTCGCCTCACAGCAAGAATTTCGCTGGGTTGCTGGTTCGAACCTTGGCTCAGTTGGTGTTTCTGTGTGGAGTTTGCATGTTCTCCCTGCCTTCGCGTGGGTTTCCTCGGGGTGCTCCGGTTTCCCCTACAGTCCGAAGACATGCATTACAGGTGAATTGGGTAGGCTAAATTGTCCGTAGTGTATGAGTGTGAGTGTGGATGTGTGTGTGGATGTTTCCCAGAGATGGGTTGCGGCTGGAAGGGCATCCGCTGCGTAAAAACTTGCTGGATAAGTTGACGGTTCATTACACTGTGGTGATCCCAGATTAATAAAGGGACTAAGCCGACAAGAGAATGAATGAATATAATAAATAATAATACTAATAATAATAATAATAATAACAACATTAAAAGCAAGTTGTCATGAACAAACTAACCTTTAATTCTTTCTCATTTGTAAATATGTTTGCGTATTGCTGCACATGCCGCGTGTAAGTGAGGCACATAACTAACGTGCTCTGCCCTGGATTTTAGACCTGGTCTATTGAGCACTATATTTAAATTTCTGAAAACAGCAACGCGCCAACAATGCGTTTTAGCACACCTCTTTTTTACACCAGAACAACCATGAGTCCACAAAGTGGCGTAAATTGACTTGTTATTTAAACAACGTGGTGCAAAATGGAAAAATTAGGGTAAACTGGGCAAAACGTCTTGTGCCTCATTGCACCGGGGGTATGATAGAACCACTAATGTTAAATGTACATGAAAATCCCAGTAGATCAGCAGTTTCTAAAATACATAGATCAGTTCATCTGGCACTAACAACCATGCCATGTTAAGAGTCACATTTGAGCTACAGCAGATTGTGTTAACCACATTAACATGTCTCAATGCATTGTAAATGGCTGATTAGAACAAGCAGTTCAACAGATGAATCTCTAAAAATAAATGTACTCTAGCCTGCTTAGCACTCGGGTATTTTTTTCATTTTGTCTGAAGTTTCTAAAAGTGAACTACAGAATTAACTCTAATATTTCAGTTATGTGTAATTGATACATATTAATGTTTTTTTTTTTATTCTCAAAGTTTTAGACTTCTCAAAGTCATTTGAAGGTCTCATTCATTTCAGCCTGTTTTATTTTTCACTTAACCAGCTCAACCTTCCAAGACACTGACCTCCAGACAACAGACACTCCCACTTCAGCAATAATTGCACAGATCTATGGCAATCAGAATAAAATGAAAGGCATCCAGTGTTGATGGTTGTAGTTCAGACATTGTTTAGAAAATATACGATAGCCTAATCTGTGATCAAAATCCAATAACCCATTCAGGTGTCTCAGCCTTTTCTGATTGATAGATTATATTTGGATGCCTACACACAGGCAATGCACATTTGTTCAGCCGTCATTCTCTGGAGGTAAAAGGATGTTGCTTTGGCACTTTAATTAAGACATGGAGACATCCCTCGGAGACATGTGATTAAGTGACAAACTATAATCACTTCCTGATTACCCTCATCTTTCCTCCTCTTGTGTTCTTTTTTGTGTTATTTAGCAGTTTTTGTCACAGCTCATTAGAAACGCCACAAAATTAGCATGCTGCCGCACAATGGCCACCATTGTTAATAATCACAAATTAATGTGCTGTCGCGTGTAAGTCACTGTCATTTGTTTCCACCCTTCCGGTAATGAGCATGCGTTTTCACATTGGCTTTGCTGGAGTCTTGCCCTGCAGGGATGTTCAGCTGTGTCATCGGGGGGTAAAATACACAGTGCTGTGAGAACATATCTGTTCCAGTCATGACAGGACTAAAGGACCACTTATGTCAAAATAACACAAGACAGAGTGCAACATGGTTCACTGAATTCTCTGTGCTTCTAAAAAAAAGGATTTCTGACACTTTTCAGACAGTCCATCCATTGTCATTTCCAGAGTTTATAGCTGCTAGAAGAAAGTTTTAATTGGTTAGGGCAACATATGGATGGATGGATGAATGGATGGATGGATGGATCAACGTATTTAAAAAATATCTGCAAGAGTTTGTACGGCCCTTGATAAATGGATGGATGGATGGATGGATCATGGTATTTAAAATTATCTGCAAGAGTTTGTGCTGGCCTTGATAGATACTCTGGATGGATGGATGGATGGATGGATGGATGGATGGATGGATAGACGGATCAACTTATTTAAAAATATCTGCAAGAGTTTGTACGGCCCTTGATAAATGGATGGAAGGATGGATGGATCATGGTATTTAAAATTATCTGCAAGAGTTTGTGCTGGCCTTGATAGATACTCTGGATGGATGGATGGATGGATAGACGGATCAACGTATTTAAAAATATCTGCAAGAGTTTTACTGCCCTTGATAAATGGATGGAAGGATAAATGGATCATGGTATTTAAAATTATCTGCAAGAGTTTGTGCTCGCCTTGATAGATACTCTGGATGGATGGATGGATGGATAGACGGATCAACGTATTTAAAAATATCTGCAAGAGTTTTACTGCCCTTGATAAATGGATGGAAGGATAAATGGATCATGGTATTTAAAATTATCTGCAAAAGTTTGTGCTCGCCTTGATAGATACTCTGGATGGATGGATGGATGGACGGATCAACATATTTAAAAATATCTGCAAGAGTTTTACTGCCCTTGATAAATGAATGGATGGATGGATGGATGGATGGATTGATCATCGTATTTAAAAATTATCTGCAAGAGTTTGTGCTGGCCTTGATGGATACTGTGGATTGATGGATGGTTGGATGGATGGATGGATGGATGGAT